TTTCTGCATCTATTGATATGACCATATGATTTTTATTATTATTTTTGTTGATGTTGTGTATCACATTAATTGATTTGCGGATGTTGAACCAACCTTGCGTATTAGGGAAGAAACCCACCTGGTCATAATGTATGATCTTCTTAATATATTGCTGAATTCTGTTTGCTAAGATTTTGTTGAGGATTTTTGCATCTATCTTCATCAGAGATATCGGCCTGTAGTTTTCCTTTTTTGTACTGTCTTTGTCTGTTTTTGGAATCAGGGTGATCGTGGCTTCATAGAAAGAGTTTGGGAGCCTTCCCTGTGAGGGAGTTTTTAGCCAGTAAACAAATAACTGTATTTGAACACCCTCCCCACTCACCTGATCTGGCCCCCAGTGGCTTCTTTCTTTACCTGAAGACAAAGGAAATATTGAAAGGAAATATTTTTATGACATTCAGGACATCAAGGGTAATACAACGACAGCTCTGATGTCCATTCCAGAAAAAAAGTTTCAGAATTGCTTTGAAGGGTGGACTAGACACTGGCATTGCTGCATAGCTTCCCAAGGGGAGTACTTTGAATGTGACCGTAGTGATATTCAGCAATGAGGTATGTAGCACTTTTTCTAGGATAAGTTCATGAACTTAATGGTCCAACCTTGTCTATAATGTTGAGTTCCACTAAATGCTGCTAAGAAAATGAAAGCTGTCAGAGGGGATAACTGGTGACAGGTATTATTTTATTTTATTTTCATTTTTTAATTTTTTTTAAAGATTTTATTGGGGAATTGGGGGAAGGGGAACAGACAAGTTGCTGTCATTTTGTTCTTCAGTCTAGTTGTGGAGGATGTTGCTTCACTGGCCCATGTTGATATTATCATTGTGCTCTTCCCGGGTGAGGCAGATTGGTCGCCAGCCTCTGGATGGCCGCTCACGGCGGCTCTTGGCAGCTCACACCAGCTGCTGGCCGCTCATGCTAGCTGCCAGCCACACACGGTAGCTTATGGCAGCCCACTGCAGCAGGGGCTGCAGCCTATGCCGTCGCCGGTGACTCACGGCGCCCAGCTCCAGGTCGAGCTGTTGTTCACCATCCTAGCTGTAGAGGGCAGTGTCACTGGCACCCATGTGGAATCTGAACCTGGGCCCTGCTGCTCAGAGCTGGCGTTTCAAGCCAGCTCTTAACCAACGCACTACTCGGCCAGCCTGACAGGTATTATTTTAAATTGATTGGTTAAGGAAGGCCTGAGAATGTGATGTTTGACCTGAATGTGTGAGAGAGAAAGCCATTGGTGATACATACCGAGAAGAACATTTCTGACTGAAGAAAATAGTAAGCACAAAGGCCTTAGCATGCTCCAGGAGCAGCAAGGAAGTTAGGGTACCTGGAGAATAGTGACAAGGAGAGGAATGGTAGGTGGGAGATGAAGAGAGAGGGGTAGCCAGAGGCTGGGTCATAGGGGGCTTTATAGGCCACAGGATGGAAAGTTTCTGGAGGATTTTAGTAGGGAGTGACTTCATCTAAGACTTGATGTGTTCATTTTCTACTGCTGCATAACTGTATTACCACAAACTTGGCAACTTAAAACATTAACAGACATTTTATTATCTCAGGAGTCCATGGGATGCTTAGCTGGGTCCTCTCACAAGGTTGCAGTCCAGGTGCTGACGGGGGCTGAGTTCTCATTCTAGTGGCTCAACCAGGGAAGGACCCACTTCCCTGTTTGAATCGCTGTTGGTGGAATTCTGTTCTTTGCAGCTGTAGGTCTGAGAGCTTTAGGTGTTTTCTGATTTTATTTGTTGTTGTTTTGCTGCTCTTAGCTTCTGGAAGCTTCCTGCAATTCCTTGAAAAATGGGGTTCCCCAACATGGCTGTTTACCTCCTTACAGCCAACAGGGGAGAGAAAGACACTAGCAAGATGGATGCTGAAGACTTAATGTAGTAAACTCATGTAAACACATATCCTGTCACCGTTATCATATTCTATTGGTTAGAAGCAAGTCACAGGTCCTGCTCACTCAGCGGGAGAGGATCACACAACTGCGTGAATGCCAGGAGGCAGGGAGCATGGGAGCCACCTTAAGAGTCACTCTGCCACACTTGGGTTTCAGAATAACTTTGGCTGTAGTAGGGAGCATTTATGGTAATGGAGAAAGAGCGATAAAAAGATCATTATAATCCAAGAGAGATATGATGTTGGTGTAGACTACTAGGGTTGTAACTGAGCAGGAGAGATGTTGGATTGCTGACATGTTGAAGGTAGAGAAAGTAAGATTTACTATATTACTTTAATACCATGCATATCATGCATACAAATTTTTGCCTATGATTTCAGGGAAGTGTTTGGAGTCACTTCAAAGTATCTAGTTTAATATCTTACTAACACCTTTTAATAGTAGCTGCGTTTATTCTAAAACGTATTCTAATTTATTAAATTAATGATATACAGTTGAACTTTGAACATTGCAGAGGTTAGGGACGCTGACCCGCCCCCCAACACACACACACATACACACACACACACAGTTGAAAATTCACATATAATATTTGACTCCTCCCAGAACTTAAGTTGTGCCTCAGGGGATTGATTCCAGGACATGCACACACCCGCAATAGACACCAAAATCCGAGAATAATCAAGTCCTTTGTATAAAATGGTGTACATCAATACATACAGTTAGCCTGCCACATCCGTGGACTCCCAGCCACAGATGGAAAATAGTACTGGTATTTATTGGGGAAAAAAAAAATCCACGTAAGTGGACCTGCATAGTTTAAATCTGTGTTGTTCAAGAGTCAACTGTAATCAAGAGTAAAGAAACTATAATCAGGATTATTCTGCCCTTTAGTATTTGAGATGCTAATGTAAGACAATTGATCTTTTACAAAATAGCTAGAAATATAGAGTCACTATAAAGCATAATCATAAAGACTTTATAGGAACATGGAAAAGATTTTTGGTACATTTAGGGGACAAAAGCCAAATACAAAATTGAATGTACACAGTCAATCACCTTCTTTTCACACATAAGAAATTCCTGAAAATATGAGCCCGTCAAATGTGACACTATGAAGTTTCTTTCTTAGAAATTAAAAAATATGTATTAAAGACTCAATTATACCTTATCTTTTTGCCACAGTTTTTAAGGACAGATTTCTAGCATTTTTAAAGTTTTTTGTTATTTTTGTTCACAATTGAATTCACAATGGTTATTGGTTTTAAGTTCAATAAGCGACTGTTTGAAGCTAAAGATTTGTCACTTTGGACATGTAAATTATTTCTTTTAGAAAATAGCTAGAAATATTTATTCACAGTGGTATCAAGTTTATCTGACTTACACTCGTGTTTGATATCAGCACTTCAATTTTTCTATATTCATTTTCATAAAATAGTAAATATAAACCATAGTAAATGGTTCTTAAGTTTTTAAAGCCACAGAACCACTTCTTCAAATGAAACCTTACCTTGAATCCCAATATGTGGCAAAGGTGAATTATAGCTGATTTGGTTGAAATTCTGCTCTATAGGTTTCCATTAAAGAAAACTTGCCGTGAAATGGTTTAGTAGTCCCCCACCTTTTCCACAGTTTCAGTTACTTGCAGTCAACCGCAGTCCAAAAACATTAAATGGAAATTTTCCAGAAATAAACAATTCATGAGTTTTAAATTGAGCACTGTTCTGAGGAATGCGATAAAATTTCACGCCGTCCCACTCTGTCCTTCCCGGGACCAGACTCGTCCCTTTGTCCAGCCTCTGTGCATTGTATGCACCACCTGACCATTAGCCACTTCCAGCCGTCTGGGCCATCAGATCGGGTATCACAGTGCTGGTGTTCAAGTCACCCTTATTTTACTTAATGCCCCCAAAGTACAAGAGTAGTTATGCTGGCAATTTGGACATGCCAAAGACAAGTCATAAAGTGCTTCCTTTAAGTGAAAAGGTGGAAGTTCTCAACTTAATAAGACATTTTATCATTTCACATCATCACAAGAAGGGTAATACAGTACAATATGATATTTTGAGAGAGAAACCACATTCATATAACTTCTGTTACAGCATATTATAATTATTGTTTTATTATTATTATAATTTTTTTAAAGATTTTATTGGGGAATTGGGGGATGGGAATAGCGCTGGGGAATCGGGGGAAGGGGAACAGACAAGTTGCTGTTGGTTTGTTCTTCAGTCTAGTTGTGGAGGATGTTGCTTCACTGACCCAAGTTGGCACCATCATTGCGCTCTTCCCGGGCGAGGCAGATCAGTCACCGGCCTCTGGACGGCTGCTCATGGTGGCTGCTGGCCGCGCTGGCTGCTGGCTACACACGGTAGCTTATGGCAGCCCACTGCATCAGGGGCTGCAGCCTATGCCATCGCCAGCGACTCACTGCAGCCCAGCTCCAGGTTGAGCTGTTGTTCAACATCTTAGCTGTAGAGGGCAGTGTCACCAGCCCTCATATGTGAGATCCAAACTGGGGCCCTCTGGCATCCCAAGCCAGTTCTTAACCAACGCGCCACTCGGCTGGTCCTGTTTTATTATTTTTTATTGTCTCTTCCTGTGCCTAATACATAAATTAAGCTTTATGATAGGCATGTATGTATAGGAAAAACCATAATGTACATAGGGTTTAGTACTATCCTCAGTTTCAGGCATCCACCAGGGCTCTTGGGACATATCCCCTGTGGACAAAAGGGGGCTGCTGTATGGTAACATTAGGTGGCAATGCAGCCAAGATGGCAATGAAATCAACCTGTGTGGCCAGCGATACCATGTAATAGTGCAAAATATTGTTCATCAGCTGATGTCAAAGTCTAGGCTGGATGTCGTAACAGCCACTTAGGGCTGACAGTGCATCGCGCATGAAGATGCATCGCCGTCCTGTGTCCTTCGTGAGAAAGGACTGGAAGGAAAAAGGAGAAAACAAACTGTTCTATTAAGGTATTGCAGTTATAGCTGAAATGTGGGGTTTTTTTGTAATTTAATTATTTGTCATAGCTATACAATCAATAAAAATGGGAGAAAAACCCAGAGGTCAGCTTTGGTGGTGACCACTCCCCAGTTGAAACAAGTATGTATTAATAGCTACTTGCAGCAGACTGGTGTTCCTCATTAATCTCACTAACAGCAAACTGCCTAGGATAAAGACTGGTGTATGGGAAGTTAGGGTGGTTCCTTCCAATTTGACCCAATAACTTTTTTTAACTCTTATTATAGAAATTGCAGTCTCTTATTTTATAAAAAACAGCAAAATGAAAAATAGTGACAGTACCAAATCCTGGCAAGGATATGGAGCAGCTGGATTTCTCGTGCATTGGGAATGTGTGGTGGGAATGGGAAATGATACCAACCACTCTGGAAAATAGTTTAACAGTGTCTTAAAAAATTAAACATATACTCACCATTATGACGCAACAAACTGCACTCCTGGCTATTTACTCTAGAGAAATAAAAACCTGTGTCTACATAAAAACTTTTACCAGAATGTTCATAGCAACTTTATTTATAATAGGAAAAATCTGGAAACAATTAAGATGTTCTTCAGGTGGATGGTTAAACAAATTGGTACATCCATACTATGGAATACTACTCAGCAATAAAAAAGAACAAACTGTTGATACACACAAAAACTTGGAAGGATCTCAAGAGAATTAGGTTAAAGGTTCTTTTTTTCTTTGTTAATCCAATCTCAAATCTGTCTGATTCCATTTACAGAAGATTCTCAAAGTGACAATTATAGAGATGGAGAACAGGTTAGGGAATGGAACAGTTCTGTATCTTGATTGTGGTGGTTACATGATGCTACTACACCTGATAAAAAACACGCACATGCATGTAAATGAGTGCTGGTAAAAATTGGTAAAATATGAATAAGGTTTGTAGATTGGACCAGTGTCAGTTTTCTGGTTTAATATTGTACTATAGTTATATAAGATGTTACCATTGAAGAAAACTGAGTGAAGGGTACACAGACCCTTTCTGCACTGATATTCCTGTAAATATCTATAATTAGTTCAAAATAAAAAATTAACCAAGGTGGGGAGGGAGCTCATTTGTTTGAGTCAGATCTTTTCCAGGTCTTCCCTCCAAAGCTACACACTAGTAAAGTCTGTTACAATACAGCTTCAGAGGCTCAAGGTAGGCTTGTCCCCAGATCCCAGTGATATACTACAATGGTGTCACTTGGACTATAGAAATAATACTCTCAGGAAAAAAAGACAAGCAGATTATTACATTTTGAGGCACTGGTACAAGAAAAATATTGTTACCTGAATGCCCACGAATAACAGCAACTGTTTGTTTCTGGGGTTGAAGTTGTATTTCTAGGACTCCTTTTCATTAATTCTCTAGGATTATACACATAGTGTTAAGGAATGCTTTCTGATATAATACACTGATTTCTCATTTACATATTGATTGCATGCTTCTCTGCAGGGTGAATTTGTAAATGAATATGTTGGCGAATTAATTGATGAAGAAGAATGCAGATTGCGAATCAAGCGAGCCCACGAGAACAGTGTAACTAATTTTTATATGTTAACTGTTACCAAGGTAAAATTGCTTTTTTTTTGTAAGAAAAAGGGATTTTTTTGTTTTTCTTTCATGGTCTTAGGCTGAACTCAGTTTTCCTCTAATTAGGCGAAGTATAATGATTGGCAGTAGCCAGAGTGCTTACCCACTATAATGTGCTAATTATACCAGAGTACAAAATGAGTGATTATTAAAGCCTTGCACATGTCATGTGACACAGCATTGTGAAAAGATAACCAGGGTTAGGGTTAACGTATCTGGATTTTAGTTCCGATTCTTCTTAGTCACTGAAAGACTTGGCCCTCAGTTTCTTTATCACTGAAGGAGAGAATGAGCTCTGTAATTCTAAGTTATAAACTGCCATTAAAGTTCTGATTTAGCAAAAATTCTAACTCTAAAAATTATTCTGCATATTTAAACTTTTTTTTAATGAGTTAGGAAAAATGAATGCTGTTATAAGAAAAATGACTGTAAAACTGCTAGTTTAATACATGTAATTGTTAAGTTCTATTTGATGCACATTACACCAATTCTGTCATTTAATTTCTTCAGTAGTCCTCTGATTTACAGAGGACAAGAAACTGAGGTCCAGCCATAAGTGATTTGTTGAGTATCTTGTTACCATCTAATGAAGAGCTGAGATTAGTACCCATGCTTCCTGTGTTCCAGGCTATCTCTAAAACAGAGAGTACCATTAAAAGGAAGAACTAGAGATCGTTTAAAAGAAGTATTATTTTGACTGGTATGACATAGTTTGAAAGTTTTACAACTTTCGTGAACATATATTTCATAAACATAAAATGCCACTTATTTATGATTGCTGATTGGCTCCTTAAATCCTGTCCTCACTGTCAGTGACTCCTCCAGCCATCATGACAACATGTGGGAGGCCCCATCCTCTAGAGCAGCGGTTCTCAACCTTTCACAGGGGTCACCTAAGACCATCGGAAAACACGTATTTTCGATGGTCTTAGGAACCGAGACACCGCTCCTCTATCCATCTCCAGGCCCAATTCCGGTTACGCCCACATACAAGTACCCAGCGACCCCTGTGAAAGGGTCGTTCGACCCCCAAAGGGGTCACGACCCACAGGTTGAGAACCGCTGCTCTAGAGCTTATCCAGATTATCAGAGTTTAAATTCAGGGGGCCAAATGCTGAGATTTTCATTGTATTTTGAACTTTAGTGTAAGTAAAAATAGAATATATAACTACTAGAGAGTACATCCCAAACGATAACCCTTCCATCAGTCAAATCTGCAAGGCTTCATTCAGAGGAGAGGTTTCTCATTTCCCTACTTCCTCTTTGTGGCCTGAGCTCTCAGCCATCTACCCCCATACTAGTTTTGCTTCTTGCTTAGAGCAGGAAAGGAGGACCGACAGCAAAACACCATAGTTCCCATTACCAGTAGCTGTCTGAACACAGAGCTCTCTAATCAGAAATACTTTCCTAAACCTATGGCCAGCTAATCTTCTAAGTAGTAGTAGTCTATGATCTGATTGTTTCTAGAAGAGAACTTAAAAAGAAACTAAATTCCACTATATCTTGATTGCTTGGACTTGAAGGTCATCAAGCACAGTAGAAAGCTGAGTAAACTGCACAGAGAGTGCCACGTTTTCGGGTTTGTCAGTTGTCAGACATCAGCTGGTAGTAAAATGCTGCTTGCTGCCCTGTGGCTCTAGACTGAGGTGGATGTTTCTACAATAGGTTTATATTTAGTTTTATGTCAAAGGTACCTTTCATTTCTTTTCTTTCTGAAGGACCGTATAATTGATGCTGGCCCTAAAGGAAATTATTCTCGCTTCATGAACCACAGTTGTAATCCGAACTGTGAAACACAGAAGTGGACAGTGAATGGAGATGTTCGAGTTGGACTGTTTGCTCTTTGTGATATTCCTGCAGGTAAAACAGTAACTTGCTCCCCATGCTGCCTTCTCCCCCACCAGGAAGCAAGTATATTCTATGAAGGCAGAATATTCTTTAAGCTTTGATGCGCAAATAGTTATTCAAATAAGATAAAGGGTTATATTTAGAATTATTATTAGAATTGTTATCTGCCAATAATAAGCAAAAATCTGTAACCTGCAAAAGGGAGTTTAGCAAGAGCCTTTATGTAAGAGAGGATATTACAGAATTCTGTGCGTCCATCATCCTACTGAATTAATTCTCCACAGTGCTGTCTATATAATGTAACCAGATGGGTAAGTTTTGGTTTTCTTTTATAAGTATTAAAAGCCTATGTTGACATCAGCTGGTTTCTTGGTTTGTTTGTGGGTTTTTTTGTTGTTGTTTTAGTTTGAAAGATTAATCTGTTTCAAATTAGACATTAAAAGCTTCAGAAGCTAGAGTTATTGCTTTCATTTTTCCTTACCCATCCAGCATCTTAATAGCAAAATTTAGTTTCCCCTGTAAGTTTGTAGAAAAATGGGTGGAAAAAAAATGCTGTAGCTGAAAAAGATTTAAACTATTGTTAGACTCATTATGATTGTTCAAGCCCAGCTAATAGAAGGCCTGGGCCTCCGCGTTTGGATCTTTGTGGTGTATTTGCAAAACCTTGAACTCTTTTCTGAACATAATATAAGGCATAAATTACTGAAAATAATATGGTCATCCCAATTCCACAGTCATACTGTTCATTTAGAAAAGAGAGCTAAACTAGAACCCAATTTTCTTAAACACAGATTTCAGATTCTCAGAAGTTTTTGACCACTTCGGTGAAAAGGATATGATGATTTTTGTAGAATATTTATTTTTGCTATAATCATTGGTGGATGGAAGGTGTTTTTCTCTACTTTGGTTTTTTCTTTCTTTTTTTCATCACTGTCGTCAATGTAGAACGTGGGGGAGCAAAAAGTCTTCATATCAATTGTCTCCTTTTTCATTATGAGAGTGTATCTATGACAGCATTTCTGTTCCCCATGACTTGAGTATGAATAATTATTTCTCTTATGTTTTAGGGAAGGAGTTAACTTTTAATTATAACCTGGACTGTCTGGGCAACGGCAGAACGGAGTGCCACTGTGGAGCAGATAACTGCAGTGGTTTTCTTGGAGTGCGGCCAAAGGTCAGTGGTGCAGGGAGCACCCTAAGCCCACAGGAAATAAAGAGTGTGGCTGTTAAGAAGTTTGTTTATGACCATGTTGGGAAAATGCTGGCACATGGGCACCTGGCTTAGTTTACAGATCTTCAGTTGCGTTTATCCAAGGTTTAGACTCTGACTTTCTAATAAAGCATGTCTTAGTAAGATCTGTTAGGTTCTGGAAAAGTATTTGTATTTCTGATTGAATTTGAAGTTAGTAAAATCCTTTTTGAAAACTTTAAAAAATTCACAACATCCTAAAAACCACTGAATTAAACACTTTAAATGGTAACTTATGGTTATGTGAATTATATATCTCAGTGTCCTTGCAATTAAGAAAAAAAAAGCACCTTATTCAAAAGTCAAGTAAAATGAAGTCTTATTTTTATTATAGTGCTATTATGGACTAAGCCCCTGGTGTTTTAAAGTAATTGAACAACAGATGAATTTAAATGAATGTGTTGTAGGGTTTTCCCTTCTATGTAAAGCTTCATACGCTCTGATCATTAAAACTGTGGTCCTTTTTTCCTGCCAGTCGGCATGTGTGTCAGCAACTGAAGAAAAGGCCAAAAATGCCAAGTTAAAGCAGAAGAGACGAAAAATCAAAACCGAACCAAAGCAGATGCATGAAGATTACTGTTTTCAGTGTGGAGATGGTGGAGAGCTGGTCATGTGTGACAAAAAAGACTGTCCCAAAGCGTACCACCTCCTATGCCTTAACCTGACTCAGCCCCCATATGGTAAGCTAGAACTTGAAGCCCTTTGCCTGACTTGCATTTTTGCCAACTATATGTAACTCAGAATATATTCTACTCTCCTTAGTGGAGCTGTGGGATAGGAAACGTTGACTAGAACAAATAACCATAGCAAACAAAAATTATGCTAGTGAAAATCTGTCTCTTTGCAAATTTAGGTTACCTGTGAGCCAGCAAGGATTGGTTTCTTCTTCTTACCATAGTTGAATACTTCAGACAGTATCTCACGCCCATACTTAATAGTACACCCAGCCAAACCTGTGTGTGTGTGGCTGAAATTCGGGGTGGTATTCAGTTGACTCAGTCTCCAATCAGAGAAGGCAGGCACTTGGGTTTTGCGTGGCACTAACAAGACGGGCGCTAACGTGGGCTCCTCTCCTTCTTCCCGCCTGCTCGTTAGGAAAGTGGGAGTGCCCGTGGCATCAGTGCAACCAGTGCGGCAGTGCAGCTGTCTCCTTCTGTGAGTTCTGTCCACATTCCTTTTGTAAAGATCATGACAAGGGGGCTCTGGTTCCCTCCACACTGGAAGGCCGTCTCTGCTGCTCTGAGCATGACCCCGTGTCTCCTGTGTCATCAGAATACTGGAGCAAGATCAAATGTAAATTGGAATCGCAAGCTCATGGAGAAGAAGTAAAAGAATAAGTCGGTGGTGATTTCCTTTTTTTTTCTTTTTATTTAAATGAAGAAAAAGGAAAAGCCAAAAGTGAAGAGAGAATGCATCAGTAGGAGAGACTGCTGCAGTGCACACAGCCTGGGCCGTCAGAACTGCCTTATTCCAGTGAAAACGGGGAGCCCGTGCCAGCAGGCAGCAGCAGGGGTGGTAGCTGGGCTTTCTGATTTGTTCTGTGGGTTCGGGAATTCTTTTGTGAAGGGTTCGATTCCATTGGTCTTTTCTTGCCTTTTATTGTGCTTCAATGCCTTTGCAGCTGGAAAAAGAGATGTGTTCGCTTTTAAAATATGAAGAGAAAAGAAAGTTTTGTTAATGAGATAAATTTAAAATCTAGGATGTCTTCCTTGAGTGTAAAAAGCAAAAGTAGCCATCATTCCTTTATTTATTTTCTTTTTTTAAAATTTTGAGAAGTGTAGTTCAGATAGTCTAATCAGTGTATGTGTGTGTGTGTGTGTGTGTGTGTGTGTGTGTGTGTGTGTGTGTGTGTGTGTGTGTGTGTTTGAAGTAGGAATTGGAGAAAGCCCTCTAGAAAAGGGTCTGACGATCTTTATATACCTCTTTACGAGCAGTAGGTAGGCTAACTTCTCTTTCCCTTCACAATGTCTTTCATAGTCTTAGAGAAGGGTTCTGTGGGAGTATCGAACTTGGCCTCTTGACAACAAAGTGCCTCAGTGGGTTTTACCTCTGTGGTCTTAAACCAAGTGGGCTTTGTGATATGATAGCTTTACCTAAAAAGGTATATAATGTGGTTTTGGGGTTTCGAAGAAAAAAGAAATGGATGTAATTACTGAGTTTGAAATGTTTTCCATTGCCAGTGGGTATTTTTGATGAAGTGCGTTTATGTGGACATGAATGCATGGTTAGAATGGTCATTCCTGTTACCTTGACACACTGATAAAGGCAGCTAAAGGGGGATGAAAGGCACAGACCAAAAGTTGGCTCATGTAAGCACCGTTTTCTGTCCAATTTAATGTAGATCTTGGTCTGACTTGAAGAGAATTATGGGCATTTTACTTTCTGTCTCTGTTTCCCTCTCCTAATCTAACATTCCCTTTGTCAGCCATCACTTAATCATGTTTCCTGGTGAAAACTACTCAAATTAATTTAATTGTATTTGAATAGCTTTTTTTTTTTGGTTTGGTTCCTAATTTGGAGGGCATCCCAAAATTATGTAAACAATTTCTATTAAGTATTACCCAGTACTTAAAATGGCCCCCACTGAGGAAGGGTAAGCACTTCTACGGGATATGTAAGAGGCACACAAACACACTTCGTCTTAGGAAGTACTTAGGGAAAGCTCCCAAGAAAGCAGTGTTAGCGAAAATGGTGGGCTGTGATGCTCGGATCTCAGATCAAGTGTACTAAGGTGTCTGCCCACAAACTCACTTGCTTTTAATGCTTAGGAATATGTATATTCCAATATTCCTTGTATGAAATAATTAGTAATGTCAGACATTGTTGTAACACTGTACTAAGTAGAAGTCTAGAATTAGCTTGAATGAACGTTAACTTTCTCTGTGAATTTTGACTGCTTAACAATTGCTGGTACCTGGTAGCATTTATTTTCCCTCAAGAAATACCTAGTAACCTTACGAAGGTCGGGAGTACAGATGCTCCAGCACATCCCTTCAGTTGTGTTGTGTGTGTTCCTTTTTCTTATCAATTTAGAGCTCTTCTCTGGAAAAAAGAAAAAAAATGTGTTTTGTGCCTCTCCTTTTTTTGGTATGTAAATGTGTAATTATACTGGATTTTTCTCTTGTAAAAAAAAACACTACATTTCTTTTACTTAAGCTCCTAAACTGCCATTTGCCTGATTCCAGCAGTTAATTCTGAGGTAACTTATTGGGCCTCCAACAATTCTATTGATTAGATATGGTCCCAAAAGAAAGAGCAAAATGGAAAATGCTGTACATGTTACCAACCATAATTGCTACAAATAACATGAATTACAGCTCACTGAAACACTGAACTTTGCTCTTGAGCGATTACATAGTTTGATGTCCTTTTAAGAAATAATTTAAGAAAATCTAGGTTTTATCATACTAAAACTTTATTTTATATATGTATATGATAAATGTTTGCAGTTTTAAACTTACTAACATGAAGGATTTCCTTTAGTATTTGAAATGCACCTCTTGTTGAAATAGTATCCAACATAAACTTATCTCCTTGCTTTGTTTTGGACTTAGTGCTGTTTAATATCTGATGACTTTTATATGGTAAGCCAGGGTATATCCAAATACTACAGATACCTTAGGTTTATTTTTATGCATCTTCTGCATTGTGTCATATTTTGTTGATATGTCTGTAACAGAGCTCTGCTGAGATTTCGTAATCTTTTGGGGGGTAGGGGTGGAAGACTAATAGGATTATTCTACCATTTCAGAAATCAGGATAGAAAACAATAGCGAACCATAGCTCTGGAGTCTTTGTCCATGAATGTTCTTTAATGGTCTAAAAAGTGGTTTTAGTTACGCCAGTGCCAAGGAGCTCTCCTTACACCTCCATAGCGTCACTGTTGACCTATTTTATATATTGTAAAGCTGCAGGTTCTGGAAGCAGAAAAAGAGTAAGCTGTGCTTTGTGTGTGCATACTATGTGTGCTTGCCTGTGCTTCATCAGTGAAATATTCCAAGACCTATTGCTCACTTATAGTCTGAGGGTGGTATTTATTAACTTTTAAATCTATATGTGTCAAAGCATAAAAGGTTGGTTTTTATTCTTGTCCCAAAATGAAATAACTTAAAGCAGCATGGGATAATGGTATTTTTTGTAACCTCATGTTAATTCTTTGAAGGAAGGAGTGAATGTAAGATTTTTGATAAGCAGTATAAAGCTTCAGAAATTGGATTGGTAACAGCTAAAGATAAAATCCTGGGGAAAATTCCAGGCACTGTGCAGTAGAGGGAGGGGCTGCACCTTGGCTGGTCTGAGGAATCATTCATTAGAGATGCCGGGAGCGGGAGCGGGAATCCGGAGGCGGGATGAGGGCCCTTCCTTCCTTGAAGGCTGAAGCAGCTGGAGGGCGATTGATGTCTTCAGTATCTAATCAGGACTAGAGTTAAGGATGAGGTGGGGTTTATTTTCATTTTTGATTTAACAAGTTCTCACTGTCTTAATTCTGAAAAAATGATCTGCTGGCTTAAATTATAGACTAGGCTGACTTTTAGAATCATTGAAACATGGAGATTTCTTTGTGTTCAAGTAAGGAACATAATCTAAAATTTTTTTTAAATAATAGTAATGGGGGCAGGTAAGCTGCCCCCAGCTCCCTTCTGCCATTTCCAAATATTTGGAAACATGCCTGTAAATAATGTTTTGAAACTGAGATAATCATGTAAAGGACTCTCAGACATAACAGGCTGTTGGACAACTTTCTTTCCTGGTTCATGAAGTAGTTTCCTTTTTGAGGAGTTTGTCATATGGTGTGTGTGTTCCAATAGGATCAAACCCAGATCTGCAGTTTGGAAACGATACACAGTCCAACAACTCTGGACTACCCAGGATTTGTTGCTTGTCTTTCATTTTTAAATACAAAGCTCTTCCTTTAGCATTTACCTTAAAGTCAAGGTGCTGCTACTTGCCATGTCCCAACAGGCCAAGAAGACAGGTTACCATGGAGTCCTTACAGCTTGGGAAGCTTATGTTTGATGTACCTGTACATGAGGTACGACGACATTGGGAAGTTGCTTTATTGGCAGTGCACATTAGACTTGAATTATTTCTTAGGAGGCTGATGCTCAAGCCACTCCCAAGTTGCTGCAGACATGAAGTGATCATTTGGAACAATTTCCTTTGGCCCTCGGCCACGTAGAATTCGTCTCTGGTTATTTGTAAACAATGAGTAGAATTTGCTTCCATTTTCAGATAGGCTAGGGAATACATACAATTAGACAGCTTTGTCATGTATTAAGAAATATTGAAAAGTTGGAAATTTGTATATACTGAAACCTACCAACTTTTATCTGGGGTGGGACACAGGGAGAAAAGGGGGTTATAGTAGGGTAACGGAGGGGAATGATAATGTTTACCACAGGTACGAAGTAGTCACTTTAACATTGAGACCTCTGCCTCATTGAATTCAGGTTTTTTAAGTACTTGAAATTATTCAGATTCTCCTTATTTTACCAGTTATTTTAAAATTTATGAAGTAGAAAGCATTGTTTTATATACTGTTTTGAAAATAAATAGCCTAGTCTCTTATCCTCTTTAACTTGGATTAAAGGTGAAGTTCTGCAAATAGGAGAGTTTATTCACAGTAAATATCTCAGACTTAAAATGTACACACTTGAGGAGGAGACGCCTGCATGAGATACCAGCAGCCTTTTTATGAATATTTCCTATGTATGTTCTTTATTTTGTCATTTTGTCAACCCAAGCACCCCTTCTTTCTTTTTAATATATGCCTGTGTAGGGAATAAAACAAAAATTTGCACTTATGTTACACTCCTGAAATGCTGGGTGTAACCTGTGTGTTTCAAAAACCATTTCCGTTCTTTTTTCGTCAGTCCATTGCTTAAGTGACAAGTTCAGGTGCTTGTGGCACATATGTGTGAAGGGGGAGGAAGAGAATTACCTGTACTTCGGTAGCCTCTAAGAGTCATTAACGTGTAAGAAAAAGGGAAAAGTTGAATAGTTGCCAAAGTCATTTATTCAGTCCTCAATTTTCTTATGTGACATTGCTGTATTTGCATATTGGCAAGAAATCACCTTCAAGCTCCAGGACTCCCCTTCCCTACCAGCCACAGACTTCTGATATGTGTGAATGGCTCTCAATACCCATCAGATTACCTAGATAAGGTATTTGTAAGGTATTCTTGTCAGTTTAGAAGTGGACTGGATAAAATTTACTTTGTTGTCGTTTATATTGCTCTTTATTTCATTTGTGCTGTTACATACCCTATGTTAAAAAAGAAAATCATATTGCCACCGACAACCAAGATGCTAAACGATGATTACAACTGGCTAATAAGATTCTTTTTATATACAAGGGTGTGTGCATAATTGGAATTGTTATAAGTTCATTTGTATCCACTTGTAATATTGCACAACAGATACCTACAGATTCTGTTTTCATTTCCTTGTGATCTTTTATGATAATGACCTTTGTAGATTGGTTATTTCTGTACTTTGTTTATCTGTAATAAACTTTGTAGATCCTGTGAAATGTTATTTTGCCTAAATCACTTGAGACTTGAGTCTTTAATAACAAAGCATCAATATTCACTAAAGTCAATCTCTTGAGTTTCTGTGACTTCGCTAGAAGCTTGACACTAAGGGGTTAGTGTTAATTTTCCCTGGGGGTGTTCCACTAGGGCATTACTGTATATTTACTTCATGTTGCCACACAGACTTCAAGATACATGATATTTTGGGGATTTTGTTGATTGGCCTATGTTTTATTGCATAGTGTGAAATGTGCAAAGCTTGGTTAACCTGTATATAGGTAGCTTATTGTTGACTAGTTATAGTGTATTTAGGATTGCCTGTACTATTAAAGCTGCTTACTACTGTGTGTGCTGGTAGAAACATATAATTTTTGTATATTATATTTACTGAGATGTTGCCTTTTTTGTTTTACAAATACTTTGGAATTCTAATGTGTTTTTTTCCTTTTGTGAGGATTAATTTGGAAAGGTTTTTAATGACATTCCACTGATTTCAGATTTTGCTTGAGATTGACTTCAATAAATTGTCCTGTATGTTCCAAATTAAATATGTGGGCTTGTTCATTCCCTATAATTTCTTGCTACAACTCTCTGGGCCAGAGACCATCATGGAAGGGAGGGGACCTAGCTGCCGCGCAGAATGACCCAATACGTCCACCCCTCAGCCAGTGAGGCCTGCAGCACAGCCAAGTCCTGTGTGAGAGCTAAGTATATCTTTATTCAAAACTCTGCCGTGCTGCTAATAAACTTGGATCCGAAAATGTGGGGGTTTTGTTTTGTGTTTGTGAAGGAAGGGTCCTTGGAGAATGTTGCTCCTTTGGTTTGGTATGAGAATATCGAGGCACCAGTTGGTTGGTGAGGGACATGAAGAGGAGATATTCATCACTTTCATCCCATTGGTTTATCAGACTGAAAGGTAGCCGGCTGCTTGGCTGGACACCGGGAGCTAGGCTAGCTCCTTGCCAAATGTACCAGAGAACAGCACTGCTTGCTTTTCGTTCCTTTTGCTACCGTAGGTGTATGATACGCTCAGAACTCCCGCAAAGCTGCAACTTCTGCTTCCTGGATTGCTTACCTGGGGTAAGAAGGTAGCTGAATACCTTCTCTGCCTGCAGTTCCCCGAGTCCCCGCCAGCCTGCGCTGAGCCGCTGAGATCCGGCCTCCGAGGGGCGGCCCTCGCGTCCCCGCCGCAGCGGCTGCCACGTCAGCGCGGCGTCTTCTCTGTGCCCAGCGTGCGTGCGGATGGGCGAGGGGATGGGGAAGGCAGCGGCGGCGGCCTTCGGGGCTGAGTTGGGCGTGCGGATCGCATTGTTCGCGGCCTTCCTGTAAGGTTTGCGGATCGGACCCCAGGGCGCGGAGGACGGCTGGGCTGCCGACCCATACAGAGGCAGGCAAGAAGGTCCCTGCCACCGTGGCCGGGCGCTCCCCGAGCTAGCTGAGATCGGGGTCTGTCCACGCAAAGCACAGAGGAAGCAAACCAACGTGCTCTGCACTTTTTTGTTTCCCCCGTAGGGTGACAGAGCTGCTCCCTCCCTTCCAGAGGCTTATCCAACCAGAGGAGATGTGGCTTTACCGGAATCCGTATGTGGAAGCTGACTATTTCCCTACCAAGCCGATGTTTGTGCGTTAAGAACTAGCCCTTCCTTCTCGTTATACTTATTACTGAGCTTAATGCTAGAAGCGGAAAGTGGCCATTATGGCTCCAAAATGATCTTTGTAGAGAACGTATTGCTCCCTTTGTTGATGTGCTGTGATTTTGCTTCCTCATGTTTAAGATGTAGATTTAGAGAGCAAGATGTTAGTCTGTTTTGGCTCAAGAGCCATGTTCTGTGAGCTTTGTTCCTTAGGACGGTCTGAGATAACTGGTCGTTTAGAATCATGGTGTATTTACTGGCAGAACTGCCCAGTTAACCCACAGACACTGAGGCGCTACTTATATTTACAGGGGAACAGCTGGGTCAGATAATGTGAGTTCTCCTGTCCCTTTCATGCCTTCCCTGTAAGGAGCTCCTTTAATGACCAGTTGTGTAGAGTTTTATGGGGGGTTTTTTTGGTTTTTTTTAACCTGTGACATATTCTGGTTCAGGTCATTGCATTTCTTTCTCCGCTGTCTCTGATCCTCCTGGCCAAATGTCTCAAGAAGGCAGACACAACAGACAGCAAACAAGCCTGCCTGGGTAAGAGCCAACCAACCTTTCTATTGGGTTGTCGGAAGAGTCGTGACGCATTTTTGCAATGAAAAGCAGAAAAAATACCTCATGACTTTTCCGACAACCCAATAGCTGGTGTTGTCTTATCTTAGTGCTGAAATGAAAAGGCAGGAGTTGTGGGGTGCAAGCACTGGAGTTGTGGCCTCAGTGGGTGGAGACCACTGAGTTCTATGTTCCTTAAGTAATTCTATCTCCCCTGCATCCCACTTGTTACTCTGGGAGACAGAAAACTAGCATTATTAAGAACTTGGTTAACCTCACAGCTGAGCCTAAATGCATTGGGTTATTTGTACCTCAGAAAGGCCTTCTGCCTACTACAGAAGTGTCCCTGTGCTATAGCAGGACATAGAGGGCCTGTTATTTCTGTACTCAGCTCTGTTAGGAGCCCGACCATTCCTCTGTCTCAGAAAGGCCATGGTTGCTGTCTTAATGAGACAGTGACCATGCAGTTCCTCCTAGGCAGATACCACTAACAGTAACTTTCTTTGCTTTCCAGCTGCCAGCCTTGCCCTGGCTTTGAATGGCGTTTTTACCAACATAATAAAGCTGATAGTGGGGAGGTAAGTGACAAGAATCAGCCACCCGTGTCTGCCACCGCCCTTCAGCAAGAGATGATTAATGGTACTCCATCACACATCTTTCTCCTTTTTTCTTCTTTAGTCTCAGTCTAATCTTCCTCATTTAACACTTGACCCCTTCCCTATTCTCAGTCCTGCCAGTGACACTTGGGCTCTTTTCTGCCCCCAAACAGTCGTGTCCCCTTGTAGAGCACCCTTGAAGCTGCACTGTGACTTGCTGTTAGCCACTCTAGCACGATTACTTTTTAGGGCGTTTTTTTTCCACCCTAATTTAAATGTTGACCCTGGATATAAGGCTTTTCTTAGTGGTGACTATCCTAAATCAGTCTCATTATTTTGTTGGGGACACTATTTGACCAACAGTTAACAAGGATTATTGGTGTTGATACACCAAAACTGATTTCTGGAGTTGTCAATGATCTGTGTTCAGACCATGCTCATTTCTTCTAGGCCACGCCCAGACTTCTTCTACCGCTGCTTCCCTGATGGGCAGGCCCGTTCTGACTTGATGTGCACAGGAGATAAAGATGTGGTGAATGAGGGCCGGAAGAGCTTCCCTAGTGGACATTCTTCCTGTATGAATACCACATGGACTCTACTATGCTTTTTTTTTTTTTAATTTAGCCTAGGAATCTTGTGAGGACAGGAATATATATCTCAGTACTCTTTCTTGTATCTAGAAACTGGAGAACTCCCCCCCACACACACCCCTTTTAAGGACCCTAAGATTTCACAAGCCTGAGCCTCGTCTATTAGGGTAAACAGCCAAGGACAGGGGAGGTAGTTTACCTTCATGAGATTTGAAGATTTTATTGTTGTATCATTCTCCTAGATCCTGAAATCTTGTAATAGTCATAAAAAGATTAACCTTTATTGAAGAGTTACTGTGTGTCAGGGCTTTGAAGCATTTTAGAGTCTGACTTCATTTGATACCGTAATAGCCCAAAGAGGTATATACTATTATTTTTATGAGCCCCATTTATACCTGAGGGAACTAAGCATCAAGAAGTAACCTGCCCAAAATCATACAACTAGTATTCCAAAAACTATTCTTAGGATAAATATTATTAACTAGAGGACACAAAGTTAATATTTTTCCTTTTGCTTCCTTCTCATAATCAGTGAGTGGTCTACTCTTAGAAGTACACAAAAAAAGGGCTAAAACATGTTCATGTCCCCCAGCCTCTATTTGCAGATGAGTGAGGTAGCCTCCTGTAAAGACATATACTTACAGGTTTTTCCTCTTCTAGTTGCATTTGCTGGTCTGGCCTTTGCGTCTTTCTACCTGGCAGGGAAGTTACACTGCTTCACAGCACAAGGCCGTGGAAAATCTTGGAGGTTCTGTGCCTTTCTGTCACCTCTACTTTTTGCAGCTGTGATTGCATTGTCCCGCACCTGTGATTATAAGCATCACTGGCAAGGTAAGCCAAGGTAATGCCATGAAAGCTCCCATGTATCACTCACCATTTTATCGCTAGCACTTGGCACAGAGGAGATGCTCACTAAGTATCTGCTGAATGAATAAACAGATGGGTATGGGATGGTCTGGGTTCTATACTCAGAGCATATTGGAAGATGAGAAAGTACAGTTACCTTTTGAAGAAATTACCAAGGAGGAATGTCCTAATTCTTCCATTATTTTGAAGCATCATAAGTAAAGAATAAACTATAAGGAATGTTTTACAACCTCAATTTTTACTTACTGTCTTAAAATAAAAATCAAGTTCATTGTCAGGAGATTTTGTTCAGAAACAAAAGTAAAATTCAAGAAAACATAAAATTGTAATTAAGCCAAAGAAACTGAAGTTAAATAATAAAGTAAAACATCCAAATTACAGAATATCTTCATAGAAAACCCACAATTAAAAAAAAAAAAGTAATAGTATTGCCCAGAGGTCCTTAGGAGACTAATTTAAAGAATAAACTAATTTTTTTTTTTACAAAGAGAGGCAAATCCTGAAGAGTTTATTGCTTCCTCTAGAACTCTTTAAATGGTGAAAAACAATTAAAATTCTCAATAGCATGAAGTGAATTTTTATTCTTCTGAATTAAAAAAAAAAATCTAGTGTACTTGGAAAAAGGTTTATTATACTTATTTAACTAAAGATGTGTTTTGATATGGTGTTTAGAGAACATGAAAATGATAATCCTGTAACTATATGATAAAACTGAGAAAGCCTGAAGAAACCATGAACCTGGTATTGTGGGGTTTTGCAGCCCAAACAATTAGAATAACCTGGAGGGCCAAGTTCTCTATACTGTGTGGTGTCTGATGTGATTTAGGAGTCTAATATGATTAAGAGAAGACCTTATCTCCTCTCTCTTCAGATGTACTTGTTGGATCCATGATTGGCCTGACATTTGCCTATGTCTGCTACAGGCAGTATTATCCTCCTCTGACTGATGCAGAATGCCATAAACCATTTCAGAACACACTTGCACTTCCTTCTGCACAAAAGAATTCTGGTGATCCTTATCGTTTTGTTATTTAGAAACTGGAGCTACCTCAGTGGAGAAAAGGTGAATCAGCCCCTCCTACCTGGACCGTGCCCAAGACTAGAATTTTTTACCTGTTTACCTCTTAAAAAGTACAAGTGAGGATATCAGCACTTCACTCTGCCTCCATATGATTATGCCATTTTGCTCACATGAATATATCATAAGGAGTCAGCTGCTTTTTCCCTACTATATGCCACACATTCTGGTAGAGAGATCTTTCACTCGTCCTCCCAACAGCTTGTGAATCTGGTCCATCAGATTGATATCCCAAGATCTACAGTGTTTTTACATTTAAATTTAAATGTCATTCTTGGAAGGATCTTGGCACAAAGAGGCCTTTACATAGCCCCACTTTATCCTAGAAACTAGAGTTAATTATCAAAACTTCATTTCCCATAGTTCAAAAATCTTAAAATCTAGGACATAACCAACTAAATTATTTGGGTGCTGTTTATTTTCTCTGCTGACAGTTCCATCAAGCCATAAATAGGAAAACGTACATTTCTGGTTCATTTACCACTGTTAGGCATATAATGCTGCCCATTTTAATACTGTGGGCATAATGATTTATCGAATTACTAAGTAAACACAATAAAAAAAAGAAAATGGTTAGGAGTGTGGTTTCAGTGCTAACAACTGACACCTGTTTCTACCTCATCTGTCCTTAACTGTGCTCGTGAGCCACTTTGCCTCCCTTTATGACTGAAGATCTGCCCAAATGCATCAACTTTGCCAAATGCCTAAGGCAGGAAAGAAAAATTACAGATATCATTATCTGGAGGACAAATGAATCTTTTTCTGTCCTTTCTTCACAATGAGCTATAAGGAACAATTACGGGTTATCATCAGAATTGATGCTATAGGACCTACAACTTTATTGAGATTATACATTAAATACGACCTTGTCGTATAGATTTCCAATGTGGAATTTTCCCTCAGTAAATGTGGTATGCAAATAAAATGGTGAATGTGTTTTTTGGGGGTTTTTTTTTGTAAGTTAGTACCATTCAAAAGCTGGAACATTTCCAAAGTAAAACATTGGACTCCCTAGCTGACATAAGTGATTCAGCTATCTATAGTTGTGGCTGATGATTATAAATACCAAAGGATAGTCTCAGCATTTACCTTATAACTGTCGTGCTTTAAATTCTGAATTATATCTGCCTAGGACAATGAAAACACCAATCAAGGGAAAATAAATATTCTTTGCCCAAAACTTATTTTTTAAACTTGTTTTAATCATAAAGGAAGAGAAAATGGTTATGTTGATTTTCTTTTTGATGGATAAACCAGGTTAAGGTAGGCAATGGGTCAATATGGTTTTATTTCAGTATTTACTAGAGTTTTAAATATAATCACGTAAAAAAACAGACATTTCAAAAAGTGCAAAATATTAGAAAGCTAATCAGTGCTATTAATTTTTCCATGCAAACAATCTCTTTTGCTAAAATAAACAATACCAATTCTGCAGTTGGGAATATGTATAAAATGATACTCTACCGGAGTTAAAAAATAGCCTTGGTCAAGAGATTGTACATGATACGACTGAAATAGTGCAAATAATATACAACTAAATAAAGGATTTAAATCAAGCTTATTACCCTATGTAATATACAGCCATGATAATACCACAGGTGAATAGATAAAATATAAAGCTCTTTTACAGTTACCTGCCCCTCACCACCAGGAAAGAAACATTTCTTCGTATAAGTAGTGGCTTATCTAGCTATCCAAAATGATGCTGTTCATCTTTGGTTAAAAGGATTCACTCTTGCTTATCCTTTGGTTTACTCCTAAATAGTAACAAGTCTGCTAATAGGAAGAATGAATTTAAATTTGAAGACAGCTGAACAAAAACTTTCCCTTTAATACATATTACCTGCTACTTAATTCTCAGTAACCCTTACTTCAAACTCAGAATTTATGTAGTAAAGAAAGAAAGTATTCCATATATCTGAACCGTTTTATCATTAGTCTATAAGCAGCCGGACAAGGAAAGGAACGGCCAGGCTTTGACCTATACCCCACCCCCTCCTCTACTATCTGTGGGGTGACAATAAATAACCTTCCCTTTCCTTTTCTCTCCAGAAAGGGATAAAGACCACTGCTGTCGAAGGGATAGCATAAGTGAATGTTAAATGCCAGTGCTTTGTGTACCATGATACATTTACAAAAAACATTTATAAGTAATAAAACATAGCTTGCCTGCCTATGCCACTCTATAAACAATGGCCTGTGGGTATCTGAGGAGTGTATCACAAAGAGAACTGCAAAGACAATGACCAACTGACCAATGCGAAAGAAAATACCTACAGCACAATAGTGAGCAGATGCCTTGGGAAAAACTAAGTCTATTCACCTGTCTTTGTCAAGGTCCATCTCACTTTGCATGTTCTGACACTGACTGCAATAGCTGTTACTTGGCATACAGGCATAAATTTTTCTTTCAGAATAAGAAACATTTCCCCTGAGCCAAACCTACGTGCTCAACCAACACTGCCTGTGCCGGGAGCCTTTTAAATAAGCATTCTGGATTATGGGTACCTAAGAAGGCAGTGATGTTTACAGAGTGTTTTTAAAGAGAATACACAAGACTACTTTCACCCAAGTAGAGGTGGCAGGTGACTTACACAAATTCTATTGCACCATAAATACACCACTAACAGATTTTATTTATAACCTAAGCAGTCTGTCAAAGCTGTGTAATTTCAGGTTTGTCAGCCTTTAGAGCTTAACCCTCAATGTAAGAACAGAAGCTACCATCAACTAAGTCAAACTTCATCCAGAGTCTCCCAATTTGAAGTATGATATAAAAGGGTGGGTCCAGCATGTATAATATCTTTGCTTTATAAAGACATACCTAATGTGAACTAAACTGTCCACTTTAGACTCTCAGAGGAGCTCCAACAGCTGTAAAACCAATTAACAGCATCAATGATTCCTAGCAATAAATGTGTCAGTCAGATGTAGAGAGTAAACAATACTCTCTTTAAGCTACATTTTCGTTTTTCTTTACATAGGACTTGTAGGAAAGAAAAGATGACTCAAAAGATTTTGACTGCCCAACAATCTTTTCCATATCCACTTACACTTAGCCTTCAAATGCAGAGAACAGTAATGAGAAATGAGTGTACCCCAAATGCCTTCCGAATCTCAAGTCTGCTTCCAAACTAGAACACTTACTTCCTAGAAAAAATTTCTACCAACCCAAAACATATTGAACTCAAAACAACTTTATACCATCTTGTGTAATAAGCAATAAAGTGATACCTATAGTACTATCATCAAAGAATTAAAGGTGCAAACCACCCCCAGCTACAAAGGAAAAAATGGCAAGTGTTTATATAAAGCTAGTGGTAAAAAGTAATAGGGTGTCTTCCTTTGCTTTTCCACTCACTTCCCAAGTAGAAGATATCTTCCAAAGACCCCAATGGTAAGTGGCAGGCAACATGCAAGAAATGACACAGCTGAGGAGAGAACTGCAGCAACAAACAGGTGGATTTTCTGGGGAAGGACCCCTCAATGTCCATCTAGGGGAGAGAGGGGAAAAGTGGTCACCCTGCAGACACAAGTGGAAGGCACCCAAGGAGAACACCAGAGTCTAATATACAACCTTTCTGGTTACATATTTAAATGTTGAATAATTTAAATCTCAGAATGAGCTGTTTGTAATTGAAATTGTAACTGTTGCCATGGTAACTCTTAGATATTCAGACCTATTAAGATTCTGAATATAGATCCTAAAAATGATGTTATTGGACCAATTCACTAGCAAAACACACACACACACACACACACACACACACACACACACACACACACACACACCTCTGTTTCTTTAAGTGGGCTATTGTGCTTTTTTTCCCAGGAATTTTAACCAGAGTCCATCTAACAATGACTAATAACCTAGATCTTGGTGACAGGCAACAGAAAAATATATAAAGAGCTTGAGGCTCCATAGGTCCTTATAACATGTTAATATGTAGAGCTATACTGCATATATGACATTTAAAAACTTACATTAAGTAGTCATAGATGATTCATTTTTACTGTAAAGGCTGATCAAGGAATATACCCTGGGTTTGGTAGATTTCTTTGAGGACCAGCAATACTGTATCTTCAGACTCCCTGTTAAGAGAAAAAGTTATGTTGTAAAAAAAAGGAACTAGCATTTGTACTAGAAGCAACTGGCAGTAGTTTGGACGGTTACCTTCCAACAGAAGTCTAGCATTATGTCTGGTAACAAAAAAACTAGTAGTAAATGAGTAAGCTGTTCCCTTTCCACAGAACTCATTCTTGGGACAATATGGAAGAGCCATCCAGTTACCTTAATTTTTTTAAATGTTATTCACTTTTTTAAAAAATGATACAATCATATGGTTCAAAATTCAAGATATGTAAGGGTATAATAATGTCACCCTCCCACCTGTTTCTTAACCACTAGTTCCCATATTCTAACAATGTTATCAATTTCTCAGGCATTTTCAAGATATTATTCTCTGTGTGTACAAGCAATTACTTATAGCCAGCTCATAAAGAAATTTGATTATAAAAAATAACATTCAGGGGCCGGCCGAGTGGCGCGATGGTTAAGAACTGGCTTGGGACGCCAGAGGGCCCCGGTTCGGATCCCACATATGAGGACCAGTGACACTGCCCTCTA